AGAGCGAGGAGGGTGGCTCGGTGGAAGGGTCGCGCGAACTTCGAGGCATCGCGCGGAGGCAGCAGCTCGATGCGCGCCCGATCGGGGAGGCCCCATTCGGTCCCGGGGTCCCGACGGCACACGGTTCGTTGTCGCCGTCCGGTGCACCGCCTTAGGCACCGGTCAAGCCCGCGACGTTTGTGACGCCCGCGCAGATCGCCGCGACGGCACTCCCTTTCATGCCGAATAACCTACCCAGTTCAAGCGCGACGAGCCGACCCCGCCGGAGCTCGCTGACCGACAGGAACATCGACATCATGCGCGAGCACTGCGACAAGGTCATATCAACTCCTATTAACCAAGAAGAAGCTGTCGAAGAAGCGGAACCCGTGCGCACAAATAGGCAACACTGGGAGGAGCACGTCAGCGACAAGATCGAGGGAGACTCCGAACGTACAACGGGACGCGGTGGAGAAATGACCGAACTCGTCAAGCAAACCTGGCAGAAGTTGTCCCATTGGAGGAAGACTAACAAGATATTCTACTAGAAGACCTGCCAACGGAAGAGGAGACGGAAGTCAGGACGGCTAGTGGGTTCGCGGTGTCGGCCTCCAGAGGGGGTCGTCAGGATCGTCAGCACGTATAACTTGTGGCCGCCACAGGACGTCTGGGACATCGTCGTTGGCAACGCGTTATCGTCACCAGCACACGAAGGCTGATTTCAAGAGCGCCTAGCATCTCTGCAGGGTCCGATAGGGTCTTCTCACCCCGCGCAGTTCACGATCAACAGTGGTGGCACGAAATCCGGCGTGCTTGTGGGAAGAGTCTCGGCAGAGGCCGGCCGGCCGAAGCGGGAGGAAGGACGGAATGGACTCATTAATTACCATCATGACCACCTCCGCTCGTCTCGTTCTCGCTTGTCCTGTTCTCGCTCGCCATCTGTATCATCTTATATCTGCTCTATATCTTCTTCCTATTCCAGCAGCAGTTCTACCCACATTCGAATGAATACCCGTGTCTACGCGCTCTGCAGCCACACCGCTTATGAAGTTTCTCCCTGCGACGCATAGCTAGGCGAATCAAGCCTCCTTCGAGCCGCTCAGGCTAGAACTTGCAGTGTGCATGTTTGGACCCGCTTTACCTCTTCATTACCTTGTAAGCGACGCTATGTATGTTGTCACTTACTTGAAAGTTGACTCTCTCCAGGGTGCATCGCGCTTCGACGACCCGCCTGTATCAATTCCTTCCGCATTGCTCAGCAAAGCGGACGACATCAAAAGTTGCCTTTCGACACCCTGCACGCCGATACACCCCTCCTTCCACGCCGATTCTAACTGCAACTCCTGACAAGAACCCCGTCATACCAGAGCTTGCCCATTGACAACTAGAACTGCAACGTGTTCCTTGTCTCGCCGAGATGGCTCTCGCGTACGTCTCCATGCCCGGTAAGTTCAAGTTCCTACAATCTTGTATGACCTAACACTGACACTTGTCTGGCTACGAGCGGCGACACGGAGTGCGGGATTTGGAGAATGGCGCAGATGTCGCAGTGTGTACTCGAGGCGAAAATGAGTGTATGCTCATCCTGGGATTTGGACATTGTCAATAAGATCTTGATCATTCGCTACTCATACATAGCATCTGCCATCTTGTATATCTGTAGTAATAGAGCGACAGTCAGCGCCACTAATAAGTAGGAGGAGGGGTGAGACGGTGCATACCAAGACGTGGTACTGACACGGGAGGTGCCTGTCCTGCTTCGCCTTGGGCTGCGAGTGAAAGAGTTGGCGTATGGCCTAAACGCTAAGGGAAAGAGAAACTCGCCTTGATAACCTTCAAGGCGGCCTCAATGAACTCCTAAAAAGGGGTGGTCAGTAGACGCCCTTCAGCAAGACGGAGGATGTTAGCAAGCAGGCCACCACTAGGGGCCGACCCATCCAGGTCGGCTTGAATGAGTACCATCCAGGTCGGCTTGAATGAGTACACGTCACCGACCAGGTCGGCTCTAACCACGATGAGAGAACAATCAGATCAAAATGACGGGGTAGAACATTTTAACCTTTTTTTTAGTGCACTCATCGGGGATTGAACCAGTGACCTCATGCCTTTAAGTGGTTTCACCCGGCGTGAATTACCATTAAGCCACTGTTCCTGGTTACATATAGTGTGTACACAGCTTACATCCCCGTCTTTTGCGCCCTACACAGCTGCAAATGCCGTCGCTCACCGCCGACGCGCTAATCACTTTTATGATCTTCCCACTTGGCTGGCACCTTCTCTTCCCTCTTCTCCTCATCTAGAAGCAAAACCAGCCTAGTGAAGCATGCGCGATGCACGCGATATGACTCTTTGACGGCGGCCGTGTCAAGGTTAGCCTCAATGGCATTTTGTTTCATTCGTGCACGCGTCGTATGCTTCTCTCCTCGAACCACCTTGCGTTTGAACTCGGCGACTGTTCCCTTGATCCTGCAGTACTGCCATATGATGATGATGTCGTCTCCCATCCCCGCCCATTGCAGACGCAACTCCTCATACAGCAGCTCACATGGTTGTTGATGCGCCAGCTTGCGTGGTAACTCTGACAGGAGATACAGGCCACGCGCCACCTTGTCCCCCAACGGCAGATCATCAGTCGGCTCCACATCGTCATTGAAGTTGTCTCCGATGCCAGAGTGCTCCATGCCGTCCTCATCCTCTCCCTCGCTATCATCACTATCCTCGTCCCGAGCCTCTGCTTCCCCCCGATCACCCTCCAGTTCACTACTGGTCCCTTACTAGTGGAGTCGGAAGAGGTATGAACATTTGAGTACATCTGCAGAAGACAGCTTTGACTTCGTGTACTCCATTGGTATGGATGACGACAAAGTTGCCGACCGTCACTTGGGGTTGCGCGCATGCCGAGCCATTGGCATGCCCAAAATTGACTGTAAGGCCTAGGTTTCTGAGAGAGATGCTCTGCCAGTGTCCTTCAACCCACGTCTGCATAAGCCTCTGGTCAGCATATTGAGCACTATAAGGTACATAAGGATTTTACCTCCACGCAATGCAATGGCAAACCAGTGTGTTTCTTTAGAAGGCAGGAGCGGCAACACCAGTCGCATCGCATACATCCAGACACGCAGCGGTAATATCCTTACAGTCTATGTTACGGCACATGTTGAGATGCGCCAGATCAAGCACGCGATGACAACCATCTAAGTTGATTAGCTCGCACAAGAACATAGGTCTCTCCCCGATTCAAGCCCAAATGGACCTCCGCTACAGACAGAGGTAAGCATCACGTCTCTAGCTTGTATAGATAGCTGTCTTACACTTTTCAATCAAGGGTCTTCCTGAGGAGCATCTTCTACGGGATCAGCCAGCAAAGGTCCCGGAAGCCCATCATGCATGCCAACATCTTCATCTGTGTTATCATTGTCTATCTTCGGCTCGGCGTCTCCTCCCACTCCACTTGCCAGGTTATTGTACCTCTCACTGTCTCGTGCGATCTCCGCGTATCTGGATGGTGCAGTTTGAGGCTCCATCCTGAATTTAGCTGTGCCGCTAGCATCAGTTGCAAACATTGTTGATACGCCAACAGTGGAGGACTGAGATGCCCTCTGCATGTCCGATCCCGCGGCGATGCGACGTCCTCTCTTTGTGTGCAGTGCTGCAGGCCATTGCGCCTTTCCCTTCTCGCCTGCAGGGGCGCGATGGAGTAGTGGTACCATTGTCGCCGGGGAGTCATGTGAGGTAAACTTACTATCTCAAGGACCTCTTGTGCGGGTTCGATCCTAGCTTACAGTCCCCCAACCCCGAGAGATAACACTTTAGACACTCTCGGGTTCTGCCACTATCAATGGGTCTAACCCCGATCTTAACCCCAGTGCTGCACCGGTGACGTCATGGTCCCGGGGGTCCGCCGGTTCGCAACCGTGTGTGGCTCAAGCCCTACCCCGGGC